ATAGAGGTAATTTAGAAAAAAAAATTGATAATATAAGAAATAGATATTATATTTAGGATCAAAATCAATTTAATAATTAGGTCACACCTCACAATTCTTGAGCCATCCGCACACCAATTACTTTTTTTTTTTTGGCCAACGCACGCTAATTACACATGTACACACACTAATTCAAAGAATCTCTGCGGTTCCCAAGTAGGAGCCATAGATAGTTAATATATGTTGTTCTCTTTTAATCAATTGCGTTGCAACCACATGCGATGAAAAAGTTTAATAGGGCTGAGAAAACAGGTGGAGCCTATTGGGTGAGTCTGTTTAAACCTGTTTAAGTTGAGAGCTGAACTTGTAATTTAAAGTCTTCATAGAGAACTCGGACTTAAAAAGGCTAACCTTGTAGGGCCAAAAAAAATAAACAGGCCAGCCTGTTTGAGTCCGCCAATAATATTTTTTAATTTATATATATATTTTTACCCTAACCTGAGTTACTAATATTTTACACACTCTCCTCTCACTTTCAATCTTTTACTCACTCTTAGCTCACACCTTAGTCTCTAATGATATTAAAATAAATAAAATATATTCTCCATATCCTAAATCAAATTTAAAATTTGTATTTATTGGACCAACAGATATATATATTAAAATAAACAAAATATATTCTCCATATTAAAACAAAAATTTAATGATGGAACCAACAAATAGTACCAATTTGTATATATGTTATAAAATTTTAATAAATAAATTAACACTTTTTTTACGGTGACTAGATCAAAATTTTTACTCTATATTTAAATAGAGTTAGACAAACAACTAGATAAAACTAAAAAAGACCATCATGAACAAAAACAAAAAGAGAATGACATAGTTACCTCATTAAAAGCATACTATAGATCAATCCGAAGTGCTAAAATATCTTAGACTTCTCATGAGATTGTGCATCAAAGTGATTTTCACAATTAAGGACTAAGAAAATAATAAGTAGACAACATAGAATCAATCCCCAGTGGTTGCCAAGTTAAAACCTCTAAAACAAACTTAACATTGATATTTTTAAATAAACTTACTAGTGAGCAAAAAATTCAATTCAAAAAGACAGAAAAAGACCTATTAGACTCCAGAATAACTATACATGTGAATAGAAGTCATATTAGACTCCAGAATAGTTAAATAATATTGAGAAGATATTATTGATATTTTTAGAAGTGAAGAAGAGCCTATTACTAGTAAAGCATAGTCAAATGTCATTGCAATTGATGATAATGATGATGAGGTTTCAAATACGTTTTTTCAGTGAAAGTGTTTGTCTACTTTTAATGAAACTTTAGGATGTTAATATTATTGACTTATTATGACTTATGGCTATTTTATATGTTTTTGTATGTTGATGGAAACTTGGATATGATGATCTTTTATATTTGTGACTTAATTTTATTCATATTTATGCATTTTACCAATAATTTTATTGATTTATTTTCAATTTTTGATAAAACATATATGAGAAATATGACAAATAACATTATTTTTTTAAAACGGGCTGAAAGCCCGTGGGCCAGCCCTGAGCCTATCTGCTTAAGGGTTAGGCTTAATAAATTAGAATATTTTTAAAATTTTGGTCTTATAGGGCGGTCCTTTTAAGCCTGCTAGCCTTGCAAGGTCGGGCCAGCCTGCATTCCTAGTTCTGCCTTTTAACATGTAGAATTCATATAAATAGTTGGATTAATATAATTTTTGTCCCTAAAATTTGAGCTCATTTTGATTTTGTCTATCAAATTTCAAACTCGTGATTTTAGTTTTTTAAAATTTAATGTCAAGATGCAACACTTTTCAAACGAAAAGGGGACAATTGCATTTTGGGACTTGTTCTTTTCTTCTTCCCCCTCCAACTCTTATCCACACAAGATCTTACATTTCAAACGTTTCAATAGATTTTTCATATGTTGCACCCCTAAGGACCAAAATTTTTAAGACAAAGTAGACTTTAAAGATTGAAACCCCGATTTTGAAATTTGAAAGACCAAAATCAAAATAGATCCACCAAAATAGTTTGGAAAGAAATTTATAAATTTAGAAGATAAAATGTATTGATGTTTTATATTTAAAACCATATCAAACCCTTGAATTAGCTCATATACTTAGTACAAGAGAGAGTACGATCCACGCAATCAAAGTAGACACATAAATACATACACATATATATAGGCCTGGTGATGAGTTCCATTTTGATTGTTGAGACCCACTACATATCGGAATTGGATTCTCTCCACTACTCTTCCCCTCCACTACCCTCCTTTTCTCTTCACAACCATTGGATCAAAGCTCCAATGGTCCAGATTTAATATGTTATAACATTTTATAAAAATAAATATTATGATAAAAAAATAGATAAATAAATTTAAACTGTTAAAATCTAATATGAACAGTTCATAACTACAGACTGTTATTATAAAGCAAATTTTTTTAATTTTTTTATTACAATTATAAACTGTTCAGACCAGATTTTAACAGTTTAAATTTATTTATTTATTTATTTATTTTTAATGATATTATTTTTATAAGATGTTAAATCTGAACTATTGGAATTTTGATCCAATGGTTGTGAAGAGAAAAAAAAGATAGTGGAGGGGAAGAGGATGGAAGGCAGTGGAGAGAATCCAACTCCCTATATATCATGCCTACAGGCTCCATGCATATCTCCAACTGCACTGAATGAAAAAAGATCACACAATTAACTCATCATCTCCTCTGTCACTGCTCGTCTCCACCTTCGTCACTTTCCTGTCATTATTGTTACCGCCAACAAAGTCAAAGTTGTAAAGCACAGGCAAAATAGCAATGTTGCAGAGGAGGACGAGGAGAGGTCCGAAGATCCAAAGCAAAAGAGGCAGAGCCGAATAAAAAAGCCTATTGCCCACTGTGGTCAGCATCGTGCCCTTCTCCAAGAGGTCGGTCAAGTAGTTTGGAGTCAATATGGAGGCCACAACGACGTCGTCTCGCGGAGCGCATATGAGGATGCCCACTTGGTTGAGCAGCCTGATGGAGAGAGAGTGACAGAAGAAGGAGAAGATGAAGATGGTGAGAATGGTTACGTACTTGAGAGACACCACGAATTCGTTGTACTCGGCTCCAAAGACGCCGTCGTTTAGGGCCTTCTTTGCGCTGTAAGTGCTGCTTATCACTGCCGCTAGCCCTGCAGCTAAGAGGATGGAGGTTGTGGCCATAAGAGTGCATCCGATTAATTGATTCCGAAGCGACTGAGCTGCCGCAACGTTCTTCTTTTCTAAATCCTATGCACAACATCAACAACATCATTTAATTACTATATTCATAAAGAAAATTTGATCGAATTTTGATCTTGCTCTCTGTAGTTTCAAATTATTAGTTTTAATTCTTATAGCTTTATGAGAACTTAATTTGAGTTTAAATATACGAACCCAAACTAAAACTCATTAAAAGCACAAAGACCACTAGATTCAAACCAAATTCTTAGGTAACTATAGGGATGAAACACCAACGATTTGAAATCATAGAAATCAAAATCAAAATTCAATCAGAATATAACTATTAACAAAGATATCAGCCCGTACTTAATTATTCGATTAGCAAGTAAGAGAGAAGTTTACTTTTAAAAGGATTTTTTATCAATCAGTGTGAATAAGCAGCAATATATATGTGCAAAATATTATTCGAACTTATTTATAATTAGCTAAGTTGTTTTAAATTACAGACAGAGATAACTATGATGATTACCTTCAGGATAAAAGAAACCCAGGAGCGTCGGATATGAGAGTTGATTCCTAAGGTTGTGGTGAGAGGCTGTGTTCGAACCTTATGCCATAACCAAACATAATAAGTAATTGTAATTACAAACCCTAAGGGCCCCAGAATTGCATCTAGATAATACTTCTTCCATTCCATTCCTATTCCTTCTCCTCCTCCTCCTCCTCCTCCTTAACTTCTCTTTGCTTTGATTCTTTATAATCAATTTTTTGTCTCACTCCCTATGTTTCCTCCGTTTTCGGCAAAAAATTAAAGGCAGGCAATTTTCTGGAAGATTATTCCTTTCCCTGTATTGGGTTTTTGTTCTTATTTTGTCCTTTGTGTATATAGCCACTCTCACTTTTAAGGGCTTTATAAGACATCACACTTGCCAATCTTTGGGCATTAATATTGATTTATAACTCTATATCGTTTGGACCACAAGATTAATTTGTATATATTGGATGGCTTTTTCTTATTTTTAAATAACATAGACCATATATAGTATTTTTTAGCAGTCAATTATAGTAGCAAAAATCAGATGAATTCACATTGTCAGTGTTAATCAAAATTGGTGTCACACAATTAGGTGGGAACTGTATATGTATGGTGCGAGCACCTACTAATTTTTAATACGCTTATTTTTATTTAATTTTTGAATTCTTGGACTGCTATAATTTGAAAAACTGGGTGACGCTTTCTAGTTAGAGCAAAACTTTTAAGCCACCACATGAATATAAAGAATGTAGAATGAATAGATGTTCATGAACTAGTTTTTTTTTTTATTATTATTAGCGTTCATGAACTAGTATTAAGTTCCATAATGATTCAGTGAAACTAATCAAATTGAAATCTTGAGTATAATATACATTTATTCCAGATGATCACGAGGATTCTATATAATTAGTTATTCCTTTATTTCTCACTTGGATGTAAATCTATCATTCACAGTACTGTAACCGAATATTTTGCTATCAATATGCCCAATTTTTTTAATAGAATTTGAGTAATTTATTTTGTTTATGACTTTTAAGTAACACGATTTATAAAAGTTAAGGTGGGGTATGTGTAAAATTTAATCTAAAATATAAGATCTGCTAAGTAATACAAAACTAGAATGGAAGAAATATCATCATTCAACAACAAAACAAGGATATTATATTACAGCTGGTCATAAATATCAAATTCACCTTATTGACAATCTTATTAGAGGCACTGTTAGTACTAAATGTGGATATCTTTCTCCAATGATTATTCTAATATTAATTCACCCCATTATGACTTGTAAAAGACTTGTCCCTTCTATTAAACCCAACCTCTGTTGGCCCCGGAGGTAGTAACTGATAAGTTTAAGTGAAGAACCTGATTTTGTGTTATGTATTTTATAATGATTTTGATCCCAATGGTCGGACCATGGGCTGGTGTAGGTACCGGCTCATTCTTTTTAGTATTGGGCCGTTTATGCGACTGGACCGTTTTGGGCCGGATTTTAGTCGTTATTGGGCAGTTAACAAAAATGGGTTTGCAAAAATCCCACAAGTGTTTTATTGGGGCGAGGGTCTGAGGGAATAATGCATTAACAAAGCAAATATAAGGGAGTGTTTGGATAAAAACCAAACCATGGTTTCAGAAGTGCTTTTACGGATTACGAAGTAAATATGTGGAGGAGGTTACCTCGTTTTGCGAAAAAGTGCTTCTGAAACCACGGTTTTAGAGCATCCAAACAGGCCCTAAGGCTAAAGGTGAATGCTACCAATCAAGTTGGATCTAACAGAAAGAGTTAGTTTCTCATGATATAATAAATCAAGATGTAAATTTTTACTAGGAGAGATACCTGCATATAGTATTCGATAGTACTGGGAATATGGGTCGGGCCAATCCTACAAGGCAAGAATTTCAGAAATGTCCCATTTTGCTAGGCCTACCCTTAAACTGACAGGCTTAGGGTCAACCTGCTAGCTTTTGGCCCATTTAAGCAAAATTGCAATTTTTGATATTTTTTGTTTTATGAAAAAAAATAAAAATAAAGTAATAAAATTACTAATAAAAAAGCATAAATATGAATAAAATTAAGTTACAAACGTAAAATATCATTATATCTAAGCATCCACCAACATCTAATAACATCTAAAATATCCATCAACAAAACAATAACATCCAAAAGTTTTATTAAGAGTGCAAATATACAATAGACAAATACTATCACTAATTTTTTGAAATTTCATCATCACTATCATCAATTGCTTTTCTTTGAGTTTATTCTTCTTTAATAGTAAAAATATCAAGTTTTGCTCTTTCATGAAAATTTTACTTTAAAATTGTGCAGCTTATCTATTATTTTATTTTAGGGTTATTGTTGAAACTCAAAAATTTCTAATTCAAATTATAGAATCACAAGTTATATAAATATAAAAATATTCTGTTATCATATATATATATATATAGTTTAAAAATATCAATGCATATAATATAAATTAACTTGTTATTAAAGTCCAAACTAACCTTTTTTTTAATTTAATTGAACAAATTATTTTCTAAAACCAAATAAATCAAACCATTTTATGAAATTTAATTCCAAATGAATAATAATTAATAAATATTTGATATATCATTAACAATGTAAAAAAATCAATAATATTAGCATTATATAAAAAATTAGAAAACAAAAAAAAATTATATAAGAGCCTAAATGGGCTGGCCCTGGGCCTTGCAGGACCGGTCCGTTTAGGCCCTTGGACCTATAAGGCCATTTATTTTAAGCCAGTTTTCAATCTCAAGAGAAAAATTCTGATCCCAACCCTCATAATTTCCAGGCCTAAACAGGCCAATCTTATAGGCTCATCCTGTTTTTCTAGCTCTAGTACCCAATAATGTTTTAAATAAGATTGTCTTCGATAAGAAGATACCTATACCTACCAAAAAAAAGAGGCTAAGGATGAATGCTCTAGAAGTATAATTGAATGGTATATTAATGATCGTTTCCCGTAGAAGATGCTGATAGCTATAGAACATGTTCCTTTAATTAGAAAGCTCATGCCTGATAAAGGTGTGTTTGGATGAAATCAAACCATGGTTTGCAGAATAGCTTCTGGAGAATAGATTCTGAAAAAAATAGATTTTGGAAAGAATAGATTTTGTGAAAAAGTGATTTTGAGAAGTATGAGTGTTTGGATAGTTGTTATTAGAAATACTTTTTATATATACAATTGGCATAAATTAATATGATAATTATAGAAAAAATATATTTTATGATATATTTTAATTTGAAGGAATAAAATTGTTAATAATATATTTTTTATTAACATATATTAATAATATATAAGATAATATAATTAATAAATAATTAATATGTATATATATTTATAAGATATAAGATTAAATATGTTTATAAAAAAAACAACAAGATACATATCCTATAGGCTCTCACACTCTCCCTTTTTTCTCCAAAAGTAAAAAATTTCTGCTTTTCCCAAAACCATGGTTTTAAACTCAAACCATGGTTTTGATTTTTTTAAGAGTGTTTGGCTATCATTTTTTCCAAACCATGGTTTGGGATGCTTGTCAAACACACCCGAAGTCGTGCTCGCTGGTGTTGTGTTGAGTTGTTAGTTATCATGTTGGTTATTGACTTGTTAATGAGTTATTTTTAATGATTTCATTGTGTTGCCACGTATGTTGTCTTTTTTTTTTTTTTTTTTGCCTGAGTGTTGTCACGTATGTTGTCACACGTGAACTTATCAACTTTCCAATAAATTGGAATAAGTTATTTCCAAGAAAAAATCACAAAAGAAAGGTTAAAAATTACTAAATATTAAATAACGAATGTGATTTACAAATTCAGTATTATTAACATTAAAAAAATATTGTTATTAAACCTGATTTGGGAATTAGTAATTTTTGGCTTCTTCTTTTGTTAATTTCCCTATTTTCAATCTATGTAATGATTTCCTATTTAATTCTTTCTATTTATATCATTAAATATGTACTCGTATCTAATTTTATTTAATTATTACGTACTAATTAGTCCGATTTTAGCCCAAGATCCGAGCGTAAGAACCAGGAGTGAAGGTCCTGTTGGAAAAAACATTTTTTTTAAAACTGTTTTCTATAAGTCGGAAAAAACAACCAAAAAAGCAAAGGAGATTTTTTTTTTGGACTGAAAAAGCAAAGGAGATTGGATGAGTGGTGATTTGGATTTATATTTGTGCCAAATCTATTATTTGGATGCGTGTCCGCGTCTGTGTTTGGACTTTTTATTACAATTCCTTTATAATATCAAATATCCAATCTACGTTAATTATTTCAAATATCAATCATCCTCTTTTGTTATTATCCAAACATGTAGGACGATTCATATATAATATCAAGTCACACAAGCAGGATAATTCATTTTTATTGGTGTGGATTTTTATACTACCCAAAGTCCAAACAAAGAATTGTAAAAAGAAGGACTAATTATAAAATGGTTAAAAGTATAGGGACTGAGTTACAGTGAGTCAAACTTTAAGGACTAAATTACACCGAGTTAAAGTATAAGGATTGTGTTACAAATGAATGAAAACCATAAAGACTAAGAGATTAATTTTCCCAATTAAATATATAATTTTAAATCTAAAACTCAAGTTCAATTCTATTTAATCATAAGTTACTCAAAGAAAAAGAAATTACGTGATTAGTGATTTGCAAAAAATATTATATTTTTACTTAATATATAATGATATGATAATTGTTTCCAAAAGGGTGAAGAAAAATTTTTATTACTAAAATATTTTAAAGGGGTATTATCATCCGTTTAAGATAGAAAATTTATTATTGTCCATTTGTAAGAAATATGATTTTTTTATTAATTTATCAAAAGATGTTGTACTGTTTTCCCTATGATTTCCAAAAACAATATATATAAAAAACCCAAGCAAGCGGTGAAAAATGCAAACTGAAAATGTTGGAAATAAAAAAGAAGACGACTTGATAAGGGGCTTGAGAGAAAAAAGAAAGGCTATAGGTAAAATATTCAATAATAAGAAAAATAGAGTTCAATAAATTAATAAAGTTCAGCGGGAGCAAAATCTCAGACTAAGTATTTAATGTCAAAATTATATCATATATAATCAATCAATAATATACAGATAAATTATTCAGAAAAAGAAGTGGCCTTTTCTCTCCAAAATGAGAACTTTCGGGTAGGATTCATGTTATAATTTGTTAAATAAACCTGGTGTGTGTGTGTGTGTGGATCAATTTTAATTTCCAATTTAAATTTTATAAAAAGAAAATCAATTTAAATTTAAATCATGATTTGAAATACCCAATCCTTTTTAGAAAATCTGATGAGATAATCTTTTTGACTAAGATATATTTATTTATCATTATTTGAGATTAAATTATGCATTAAGTGCAAGCCAGGCACTATAAATAAACCCCCCACGCCTCATAAAATTCCCAAACACTCGTCTTTCAAAATCTCTGAACACTCGCAGCTCGGAAACGCTGTCTGATCAGAAGAAAACAGTAATTTCTGGGAATCATCATCCATGGATCCACAACTCTGCGCTAATGGCTGTGGCTTCTTCGGCTCTCCCGAGAATCACAACTTGTGCTCCAAGTGTTACAAAGATCATATCGTCAAGCTCAATAAAACGATCAGTGAATCAATGACAAATCTCGCCGTATCGTCTTCTTCATCTGATGAACACAAGAATGAAGAGTCCTCGTCGATCGGCTTCATGAATTTTGGGGTTTCTGCTTCGGAATCATCTGATGAGTTTCAAGAGAAAAAGAGGTGCAAGAGTTGCAACAGAAAGGTCGGAGTAACAGGTGGATTTCGGTGCCGATGCGGAGACTTGTTTTGTGGGAAACATAGATATCCAGAAGAACATTCATGCACGGTGGATTATAAGCAGATTGGTCGTCAACTCATTCAAAAACAAAACCCACTTTGTGAAGCTGATAGACTATTCAGAGTTTAGATGATTTCTTCTGAGTTCTGCTCAATTTGTTTGTTTTTTTTTTTTGTTTAGGAATCATTCTTTAAAGTTGTCATCGACAATCAATTTGTAAAGTTGTGGTCATCTTCAGGCATCAAAATCTGTTAATTTTATTGCCACTAGCAACATGTTGTCTGAAAGTATCGTGACCAAATCACCAGCACATACCTTGATCAAAGTTGACCACAAATATAGGAGTCCTTTTTTCCTACAGTGCATTTGGATAATTTTTTTAAAAAATTATTTTATACCCCTCTGGATAGAATTTATTTTTTAATATAAATTACACTACAAAATGAGTTTTACATTAATACTAGAGGAGTGTTAGTTAAACATTCACATCAACATATTTCTTTTTGAATTAATATAAAAATTTTCAAAAATTAGTTGTTGTGTTTTGCAGTTGAATTAAGATGTTTATTTACATCACATTCTTCGACAGAAGAATTTAATAAACACATTTACTTCAATTTTTTTTTTCTGGAAGATATTCCAGGAGGAAACTCTAAATTCAGTTTATGACTTGTCTTTTAAAATTTAAGTACTTCGCCGGTTCCTCAAATTAATTCCAGAACTGATTCAATGATACCGAAAACAGAGTAACACGTCCAATGTTTTGAGTTGTGACACCGTTGGAAGCATGGACTTTTAAGGTATAAGCATCAATAAATAAGCTTGTATTTGCCCTCAAAGGAAACCACACACAAGATGTCGGCCATAAATTGGTACATCCACGAAGCCAAGATTAAAATAAACATGAAAAATTCTTGATTGACACACGGAATCATAAACCAGTACCAAAGCTTACAATCAAGTCAAAAACAAGAAGAAAAAGAACACGAAAACGAAACATAATTTTTTATCAGAACAATTAGAACACATTTAATATCAGTGCGCTATGGTCATTAACTAGAACTACAAACTTAAACGTAGGTATCAATAAGCGATCTCCTCATCTCGTCCACAATAGCACTAGGCTGAGCTTCCCTAAGCTTGAAAACACTCTCAACCACTGAGAGTTCTGTTGCCGTTGTGTCTGATCCACAAAAGGCAGTCCAATCATTAACAGTCATGCCAGCAGCTATGACCTCACTACCGCGATTCACAGTCCCAGCAACCAAAGGAACCTGAAGAAGTGTGGAGAGCTCATCCAAGTCTTCAATCGAAGTGTGCGGGTGAACCTGCACCAAATTTAGGGTCAGACTAAAGATGATGTTCAAACAATTTAGAAAGAATCTTTGATTCTCCTTACCAGACCACCTCTGTTGGAAAAGGCGCAGTAACTTCCGACAAGAATATTTCCGGCAATGGTCTGCCTGAAAACTTCTACTCCCAGCACGTCTGCAATCAGCTCCTCAGTTTCCTGAACAAAGAGGTTCGCAAATTGATGTCCAGATGGAACGATGGTGTTGCGTTTTTAACAAGTGATAAAGACTATCAACAGAGATGACGATTCCAATTCTATTAGCATAATGGTCTCCCTTAATAAAACATTAAAATATTCTCAAATCACAAATTAAATTACAGCAAGACTAAATAAAAGCTGGTCATGCATTAAAAGAACAGCTTTGGTTGGGAAGCCTTTGTATAAATAAAACAAACTCCTCAAACATAATTATGTGCGTGCTTTTCAATAAATTATTTACAATTTATGGGAGTTGTCAATAAAAGATGTGATAAGATTCAGATAGACACGCAAGAAAGCACGGTGTCAACTTTAATTTTGGGCCTACATGCTTGATAATTGCAAAATATGAGAAAAATTTTGCTCAAGGAAGAGGAAAAAAGAAACATTGAGTTAAGGTATGAGCATCCCTCCGGAACAATTTCCAATATAAAACAAGAAAGTAAAGGACACAAAACATATAATAGATAAACAAATAAGGAAATACCCTATCAAGATCAGTGTGCGCGAGTGCCACATGGTCATTACACGCTATACAATTTCCAAGAGCAGATAATCTTTCTTCTACACGCTGAACAACAACTTGATCTGGTAGACTGTTTCTTAGATGTTGAAGTTCTTTTGCAGTAGCCGTAACAATAACATCATAAGTCAGCATAGTAAGCATGGACTTTGAAGGTGATTAAGAAACATTAGACTGTCATACAACCAAAAATACTAGTAATTTATAAGCCATAAATTCCTACATAGCAACGGCACAGAGTATCATAATTGACAGACATAAATAAGCTCATCAAACCCAACACTGATAAAGTTCGTTGAATCATGTTTGACCAAGACAATTGAAGATCCTGGATGGTTGCAGATAAACAACAGCTTTTAGAGTCATTTTAACACTCAATAAAATATCAAACTAAAATATGATAACTGGATGAGCACCCAGAGAGTGCCAGATAAACCAACTATCAGAATGAGTAACTATTGCATAAGACAGCCAACAACCTACAGATAATACACAGAAGTTAAACATATTAAATATGACAAATTCATCAATCATTAAATGAGATAACTCAAGTGAACCGGAGTCAATTAAAGTAAATATCACGTGTTGCAGCAAGATATTGAATACAGATAATTTCTCTGACAATGTTTGGAGGACATCCCCCCCCCGGGGGACCAAAAAAAAAAGAAGAAAAAAAAACAGAGAGAGAGGGGGCTAGAGAGAGCATAAAAGGCCAATAATACATATAAGTGGAATCACCTTGGTCTGTGGTATTGTGTGGCAAGAGAAGCCCATTCTTGTTTCCTGCAACCCAACAAAAGAAACTAAGCTAATCAGGTCAAATAAGATGGTAATTCGTCTCAGAAGCTGATATTTAAGAGAAAAGCATTTGTGAGAGAGAAATAGAGCAAGGCCATCTGTTAAGTGTTAACTGCCCAGGGGGTATCCATAGCGAAAACTAATACAAATTAAGAAAACAAGAAAATAGAAGACAGAAAAGAGAAACTTTACCAGCACAAAGGCGGCCAACTATGCGAGTGCCGGCAATGGAAGTCTTCACCACTGGGATAACACCTGATAATTCAGACTCAAAGACACTGTATCCAAATTAACTTGTGAGCATATAGGATTGACCAAATAGCCATGTTCAGAAAACCTACTTAACAGCCCTCTCTAGTTTAAAATCATAAATACTTTAAGGAAGACATTTAAGTGTTTGGAAATGAAACTCAACAAGGGGAGTTGGAATCAGTTCTGGCAAACTTTACACCAGTTTTTTGGTGCAAATTTTAAACTATAGGAAATGTGGGTCTGATTCTTTACTTGATCTGCAATTGCCCATAAACTTAACAAACTGCAAATAGCTAATAATAAATTTGAATCAATATTGAAATCCAGTCTCATGGATCACCAACGACACAGAGAGAGAGAGAGAGAGAGAGAGAGAGAGAGAGGAGAGAGGAGAGAGAGAGAGAGAGAGAGAGAGTCATGAAAACCTGTAGAAGCTTTCAGAACCTCCGATGGCAACCAAACAATAGGCATTGGTAAGTTTAGAGAACACTCCAACTTCACAAGAGTTCTCAAACATAAGTCCTGCAGAAAATACATAGCAGCATTCATTATATTATTTGGAAGGAGGACAAATGCGTACACTCCTACAGCCGGGGACACACACATACACAGGACAGAAGGATCCTTTGTAATCACGCATAATGTATATTAACAACGGAACAAAGCTTATACATCTCACTTACTAGTAGCCATGTTTGAGAGGATAGAAACCTTCTAACCCAGGTAAAACACTTGAAGACAATGAGCTGAAATTCTGTTCAACAGAACAAGGAACAGAAACGATCATTGATATGGATACCAATATGCATTACAAAGCAAAGTGTCTACAAGCCAAGCATACTTGTTCGATGTAAACAAGTGAGCATGGGTTATGCGATTATGCTATCAGGGTTGGTCTCATTAGACAAGCGGTAGAATTAAAGGGGGTGCAAAATGATAGCTCCCGTGGAAATACAATTATTAAAAGAATTTCATAAGTTTTACGATTTAAACACTTCGCCCAGCCCTTCTATTACCAATTCCAATGTTGATGCGCTCAAAAACTTTGCCTAACCTTTAGCAATTCCAGTATTCATGCATGTAAGATCACCTTCAACAACTCCTACCATGGCTGATGATAATAATATCTATTTCTTTCTGAAATTTTCATGAAACATTTCCGTTTCCGTAATTTCAGGTTTCTTATAGTAAAGCTCAACAAGCCTCGTGGTTACAAGATAACATTCCAAGAACCGTGGGCATGACATTTGACACAGCGCAAATAAAGAAAAAGATTGCCTCCCAGGACTTTGACGCCGAAAACGTTTAATTGGGATTAAGCAAGAACCAAATATGGGCACTTCAGTTTCAACTTTCAATCAGGCCACAAGAAATTCCAACTTCCAATGATCATCTAAATGAGGGAGGAGAACAATCAATATGCATAAACGCGAAAAAATATACCGAGAGCAACGTGGAGGATCAAGCACGGGAGAACAGAAAACGGCAGCAGCGAGGAAGAGATCACCGGAGCCGTGAAACAGGGGAAGGGAAGAGCGGTTGCGGGAGCAAGCGGTGAAGGAGGAGGCTAGGGTATTTGAATATTTGACTGCGATGTGGTGATACTGATACCGTTCGCCTCAGATTTTTAATAAATGTGAGGCGTGCAGAGCAAGCATTTTTGTTGATTATTTTTTCCAAAAGCATTTCCAAAAAAATTAATAATAATAATATGCTTGGCGAACACGGGCAAGCTGTGCTGGGAAACGGGCTTGGGTTATGAATTGGCGGCCCTCCAAACATGGCCGACCTGGAATGAGCCACTGTTTTATCCCAATTTTTTTAATGAAAATATATTAAGAAAACAGAAATTAGTGGTGCAAAGTAATTTTAAAAGGTATATAGATAAATGAGAAATTATATTATAGTATATAGGGTCCGTTTGGATTGACGGTGAAAAAAGTAGCTTATTTCCAATCTAACTTTTAGAAAAGTAAGATTGGATAAAAGTTAAATTGGATAAGTTGAATTGTGTTTGGATTGGAGTTTTAAAATGTTAGTTTGTAAAAGTAAGATTGATAAAAGGTTGTTTGGATTATGATTGAGTAAAAGTAAGTTTGATTGTAAAATTATCAAAATGGGTATGAATTTTAATAAATAATGAAATATGATTAAAAAAAATGATTTTACATAATGCAATGAATTTAAAATAATTTAATATGAAGAAATGAAATTTAATAAGTAAATTAAATTTTAAAAATTTATAGAAATCATAAAAAAATATTTTAAATATAAAGTGAAACATTAAAAAAAAAAAAGAATGGAAGGAAGTACATCAAGAGTGTTATGAATATTGCATGAGTGGATGTCCATAACCCCTAACCCTTAGAATTCTCATAGGATTCCTTACCTTCAAGTGTCATAAACTACATAACCTCCCTAATGAATGACTTGGGAGGAGTTTCTTATTGTTAATGCTATTATGATGTTCTTTATTCCTTTGTAACCTTAGTATAGGACTTCAATGCTTGGAGGCCTATAAATAGAGGGCATACATGAGGCATTTGTACCTTGAACCAAAGTGAATGAGAAAAGGCCATTGTCTTCTCTATCTCTTGCTTTCTTTTCTACTCTTCATTCTCCTTATTTCTTGTAGTTTTATAGCACGTTATCAGCACGACCTTGCTCTGAAAATTTGAGGTATAAACCCTTCGTAAGATGATGCACTCTTCTCATTGTTCCTAACTTAATCATCACAATATATATCTATGTATTGACTACATATTAACTTTATATTATCTTCTTTCTTAATTATCATGTTTTATATTATATAATGTTACTCTATTGTTCTTTTCTTTACATTTTAATTTTTTTTTCTCATTATGTTATATATATATTTATTTTATGTTAACATTCTGTTTTATTTTAAGTCATTTTATTTTTGTTGTCACATTGTAAAATATTATGTTTGTTTCAAATAATTGATGTAATTTATGTATCATCTCCATTTGGTATCTATGGTATTTTACATTATTTTATCTGTGTTGTACTAACTCTCATATACATATAATTTACAGTGTCCCATGTTGTTTTATCTATATTGTACTAACCCTTATATACATATATACATATATATATAATTTACTGTTGTTTTATCTATATTGTACTAACTCTCATATATATATATATATATATAATTTACACTGTTTATATTTTTTTTTCCCCTATCATTCTATTTGTTTGTATTTATTTATGTTGTTTATATATGTTGTTTATATAATTTATTTATAATAAGGCCTAATAATTTATATGTTGTTTATTCATTATTTATCAATTTATATTTATTTCGTTTATCTCACTGTAGCATTATTTTTATTTTTATTTTTAGTTTAATTTTTATTATATATTAGTTAGTCTATTGTAATATTTATATATTTATTTATATTACCGCATTTACATTACCGCTTTCCCCCTTCCCCCTATATATATTTATATATACGTTGTCTCTATATTATTATTGTAACTAATTATTTGTGTTGTTTATTTTTTTTTTCCCTCATATATGTTTATTTGTCATTGTTTATTTATTCATTTATTTTGTTTATAATTTTAAAGAATAATTTATTTATGGGTGACTTTTGAATCCTAATATTTTATTTATTGTGTTTAGTGTGCATCAATTTTATTATAATTCTAATTTTTGTTATTATCATTTTAGTTTGATCCATGGCCAATCTTACCAAACTCGAGTTTACGGCTCTTGATATCACTGGAAAAAACTATTTGTCTTGGGTCTTAGATGCTGAAATCCACCTAGATGCCAAAGGTCTAGGAAGTACTATTTTACTTGGAAATGAAGCAACTAGCCAAGACAAGGCTAAGGCTATGATTTTCCTACGCCACCATTTGCATGAAGGGTTGAAAGCTGAATACCTGACGGTAAAAGACCCGTTAGAATTGTGGAATAATTTAAAAGAAAGGTATGATCATCAAAAAACGGTAATTTTGCCTAAAGCTCGTTATGAATGGATGCATTTGAGGCTCCAAGATTTTAAATCTGTGACTGAATATAATTCAGCAGTTTTCAAAATAAGTTCTCAATTGAAATTATGTGGTGAGAAAATAACAGATGAGGACTTATTAGAAAAAACATTTTCAACTTTTCATGCTTCAAATGTGCTCCTGCAGCAGCAATATCGTGAAAAGGGTTTTAAGAAATATTCTGAATTGATCTCATGTCTTCTTGTGGCTGAACAAAATAACGAGCTATTAATGAAAAATCATGAGATCCGTCCCACTGGATCAGCTCCATTCCCTGAAGCGAATGTGACTGTACACAATAATCATCATACACGTGGACGCGGTCGTGGTCGTGGTCGTGGCCGAGACCGTGGTCGTGGTAGGGGACGCACAAATTACCGTCATTATGGTAGGGGAAGCAACAATTATAACCCAAATACCCACCAAAAGAAGAAACTTGGGGATGGGCAGAAAAAAGATAAGAATGGCCCTTCAAGAGTTGTTGAAAATCAATGTTACCGGTGTGGCATGAAAGGACATTGGTCACGTACCTGTCGTACGCCTGAGCATCTAGCAAAACTTTATCAGGCCTCTATAAAAAGAAGTTCAAATAATGCGGAAGCAAATTTGACTTTTCAAAGTGATGATGTGGAGGCAAATTTTGCATACAAAAATGATAATATCAATGAGCTAGATGATGTTAATGGCCTTGATGCTATGGCACATTTGGATGTGGCTGATTTCTTTGAGAATCATGATTAGAAGAATTTGGATAATTTTAGTTTGCTTTGTTTATGCTTTTTAATTTAGTTTATGTTTATTTATTTCTCTCTTTTTTAAGAGTATTATTAATCATGATGTACTTCGAATTTATATTAATGAATGTTTTTTTTTGGGTGAAGAATATGGATGTTTCTCTTCCTTTTGTTGGGCACAAGAATGAAGATATATGCCTGATAGATAGTGCTACAACACACACCATACTCAAAGATAGAAAATATTTTTCTCATCTCACGATAAATAGTGCAAGCGTCAATACTATAGCGGGTAATACAAAACTAATTGAAGGCTCCGGAAGAGCAATTATAATATTACCCAGAGGAACAAAATTTGTTATTAATGATGCTTTATATTCCTCGAAGTCTCAAAGAAATTTATTAAGTTTTAAAGATATTCGCCAAAATGGATATCATGTTGAGACTATAAATGAGAAGAACATTGAATATTTGCATGTTACAATGGTAAGAAATGGAGAAAAATATGTCATGGAAGAATTACCGACATTATCTTCTGGTTTGTACTATACAAATATTAGTACAATTGAAACAAATGCTACGGTAAACCAGAAGTTTACTGATAAAGATACGTTTATTGTTTGGCATGATCGGTTAGGCCATCCCGGATCAACTATGATGCGAAGAATTATTGAAAATTCACATGGACACCCATTGAAGAGCCAGAAGATTCTTCAATTTAAAGAATTTTCATGTGCTGCTTGTTCTCAAGGCAAATTAATTATAAGGCCTTCATTGACAAAAATAGGAGTTGAATCTCCTGCATTTCTAGAGCGTATCCAAGGAGATATATGTGGACCTATCCATCCACCATGTGGACCATTCAAATATTTTATGGTTTTAATAGATGCATCTACAAGATGGTCCCATGTGTGTTTGTTATCAACACGTAATTTAGCATTTGCTAGATTACTTGCTCAAATAATTCGATTAAGAGCACAGTTTCCAGACCATGCAATTAAGACAATTCGTCTTGATAACGCTAGTGAGTTTTCATCTCAAGTTTTTAATGATTATTGCATGGCAACTGGAATAACAGTAGAAAAATCTGTTGCTTATGTCCACACTCAAAATGGCCTAGCAGAGTCATTTATTAAACGCCTCCAATTGATTGCTAGACCAATGCTCTTGAGAACAAAACTTCCTATTTCAGCTTGGGGACATGCAATTCTGCATGCAGCAGCAATTATACGCATCAGGCCAACAAGTTATCATGAATTCTCCCCGTTACAATTGACTTTTGGTCGAGAGCCAAATATTTCCCATCTTAGAATTTTTGGATGTGCGGTATTTGTCCCTATTGCTCCACCACAACGCACAAAGATGGGACCTCAAAGAAGGTTAGGGATATATGTTGGCTATGAATCTCCTTCTATAATTAAGTATTTAGAACCATTAACAGGAGATTTGTTTACAGCACGTTTTGACGATTGTCATTTTGATGAGACAATTTTTTCAATATTAGGGGGAGATAATAAGCAGCTGGATAAAGAAATCATATGGAAAGCATTATCATTATCTCATCTAGATCCTCGTACACAACAATGTGAACTTGAAGTTCAAAGAATAATTCATTTGCAAAATATTGCAAATCAACTGCCAAATGCATTCACTGATCCTAAGAGAATTACTAAATCTCACATTCCAGCTGAAAATGCTCCAATTAGAATTGATGTCCCAGCAGGACAACTAGAAAGCGCAAGTGAAACCAAACCACGCCTGAAGCGGGGTAGACCAATCGGTTCCAAAGATAAAACTCCTAGAAAGAAAAAAGGAGCAAATAATCATGATGGTCATGATAGTCAAATTGAGGAGGCAAGTCCTATAGGAGAGGACCGAAACATAACTAATCAAAAGACCTCAGAGGAGGCTCAGGTACCTGAAAATAATGAAGAGATCTCAATAAGTTATGTTACTACAGGAAAAAGATGGAACCGAGAGAACACAGTTGTTGACAATATTTTTTCATATAATGTTGCTGTTGAAATAATTAATCAACATGAGGATCTTGAACCTACATCAGTTGAAGAATGTAGACATAGAGATGATTGGCCAAAATGGAAAGATGCAATTCAAGCAGAGTTAAATTCACTTTCAAAGCGTGAAGTTTTTGGACCTGTAGTCCATATACCAAATGGTGTGAAACCAGTTGGATACAGATGGGTCTTCGTGCGCAAACGAAATGAGAAAAATGAGATTGTTAGATATAAAGCACGGCTTGTAGCACAAGGATTTTCACAAAGACCTGGTATTGATTATGAAGAGACATATTCTCCTGTGGTGGATGCAATCACTTTAAGATATATAATTAGTTTGGCAGTCCATAGAAAACTTGAAATGCGTTTAATGGATGTTGTTACGGCATATTTATATGGTTCTTTAGATACTGAGATTTATATGAAAATCCCTGAAGGATTTAAATTGCCAGAGGCATGTAAGAATTCTCGAGAAAATTATGCAATTCGTTTGCATAAATCCTTATATGGATTAAAACAATCTGGAAGAATGTGGTATAACCGACTTAGTGAATATTTGTTGAGAGAAGGTTATAAAAATGATCCAATTTGCCCATGTGTTTTTATAAAAAGAAATGGATCAGAGTTTGTTATAATTGCTGTCTATGTGGATGATTTAAATATAATTGGAACTCCTGAAGAGCTTCAAAAAGCAGTTGATTGTTTAAAGAAAGAATTTGAAATGAAAGATCTTGGAAGAACAAAGTTTTGCCTTGGCTTGCAAATTGAGCACTTGGCAAATGGAATTTTCCTCCATCAATCAACTTATATTGAAAAAGTATTAAAGCGATTTTACATGGATAAGGCACATCCGTTATCTACTCCTATGGTTGTAAGATCACTGGATAAGGATAAAGATCCTTTTCGTCCTCAAGAAGATGAGGAAGAACTTCTTGGTCCTGAAGTACCATATCTCAGTGCCATAGGTGCATTAATGTATCTTGCTAATTCAACACGACCTGATATTGCATTTGCTGTTAGTTTATTGGCAAGATTTAGTTCTTTCCCAACAAGAAGGCATTGGAATGGAATTAAGCATATATTTCGATATCTTCGAGGGACAATTGATATGGGATTATTTTACTCTAATGAATCAGAATCACAATTAATTGGCTATGCAGATGCAGGATTTCTATCAGATCCACATAAAGGCAAGTCTCAAACAGGATATTTATTTATTTGTGGAGGTACAGCGATCTCATGGCGTTCAACAAAACAAACTTTATCAGCTACCTCATCAAATCATGCGGAAATAATTGCAATTCATGAGGCAAGTCGAGAATGCGTTTGGTTGAGGTCAGTGACTCAACATATTCAAAAAATGTGTGGTTTTTCCCTTGAACAGAAGATTCCAACAGTATTATATGAAGACAATACAGCATGCATAGCTCAATTAAATGGAGGATATATCAAAGGAGACAGAACAAAACATATTTCTCCAAAGTTCTTTTTCACTCATGATCTTTTGAAAAGTGGTGATATAGATGTTCAACAAATTCGCTCATGTGACAACCTTGCTGATTTGTTTACCAAGACACTGCCGACTAGAACATTTGAGAAGTTAGTGTATGGTATTGGAATGCGCAGACTTAAAGACTTAAAATGATGTTATCATTAGGGGGAGTAAATATTGTGTACTCTTTTTCCTTCACTGGGTTTTTGTCCCAATGGGTTTTTCCTAGTAAGGTTTTAATGAGGCACAATACTCATTATGGACATCCAAGGGGGAGTGTTATGAATATTGCATGAGTGGATGTCCATAACCCCTAACCCTTAGAATTCTCATAGGATTCCTTACCTTCAAGTGTCATAAACTACATAACCTCCCTAATGAATGACTTGGGAGGAGTTTCTTATTGTTAATGCTATTATGATGTTCTTTATTCCTTTGTAACCTTAGTATAGGACTTCAATGCTTGGAGGCCTATAAATAGAGGGCATACATGAGGCATTTGTACCTTGAACCAAAGTGAATGAGAAAAGGCCATTGTCTTCTCTATCTCTTGCTTTCTTTTCTACTCTTCATTCTCCTTATTTCTTGTAGTTTTATAGCAAAGAGTCTATTTTATGATGGTATATAGATTGAAGCAATTTGAATGGGAATCACATGACTTTTGATTTTACCAACAAAAAAAAATTGGTGTGCGTGTGTGTTACGACTTTTGAGTACTAAAATTTAACTTTACTACTCTTTTGACAAAAAGGAAAAAGAAAAAGAAAAAATTTTCCTAATTCCCACTACCGTTTGTCGTGCATGGGGTTGGTGGTCCGTTGACGAATGGGACCTGCACACTTATTAACGCTCATGCTCAGTCACTGCACAATATCTAACACATTAAAGCCAATAAGCTCAACCACCAAACGCTTAGATCGACTGGTTGGAGGTCGTTCTAGTTTAACCAAGGTCAGGGGTTCGATTCTGCTTAAGAACGTAGCAGCATTTACAGTAGGCAAGCTTGCCCTTGGAGTCCCACAAAGTGCCGCTCCCAATTAGTTTGAGCCCATTGATATGTTTAGAAGATAGCCTTGGCTCACGATATTAGGGGAAGAAATAAAAACAAAACAAAAAACAAAAAAAGAAGCCAATAAGCTCAAAATAAGTTTCTTCTCTGGGCTTCTATTGGAATGCACGTTCAGGGAGCTTATTGCAGACAAGCTACATTGGGTTTAAGCCCTTCCAAATAGGAGCAATATCTTCAATTGGACTTCTATCCAAAATAAGCTGCTTTTCGCCCATTTTAAGCCATATCTATAACTAATTGTTTAGTAACACCTGAGATTATCAAAACATTCAAAACATTTTGTTGAAAACTTAAACGACAAATTGACTTCTAAAATTCTTCCTGGAAGATCGCAGGCATAATTCTGTGAGTAACAGGGTATGCTAATGTTTCATTGTAGGGGGTGTATATTAGTTTACTTGGCAATTAGTACAACTTAACAATGAGATTGGCCTAACCTTGTTTTGGGTGCAATGAGATAGGCCGAACGAGAAGAACACCGAGGCATTCGATGCATGATGGGCTCAGAATTTAGATGGTGGAGGGCAATTCAACTTACTCATATAAGAGATTATTTTTAAATATCTTTGAATCAATGCGTGTGTGAATACACAAGTCCTTTAAAACTACGTATAAACCCCAGACTGAAACCAATGTTGGCTCAACAAAGTATGTGATAAAAAAAATATAAAAACAAAAAATAATATAGATATTACATCTTTTTTTACAATGTCATTTCATAAAATATAAATATTAATTGCATATTAATTTATTAGTTGATATAGAGTACAGCAATGAAAAATCTTGCTGTTAATTGAGGTACCCTACAGAAATCACATAATGTAATTAGATTTTGTTGACATACTTTTAGAATGGTATGAGCATTGTCCGAAATATTTTTGTTACATATGGAGCCTGTACAAACATTGAATAAATTTCAAACAAAACAAAATTTATTGCCACAATTCTTTTTGAATTATAGAAGTAAACACTAGTGACTTGAGATTACCTCCTACTCACGGCAGAACTTCCATATCACTGGGTTATAGGGCTATTGGCTATGGCTGCAATTCTAATTCTAGTGATCTCCATCCTCATCGTTTTGCCCCTATTCAGAACATAAACTCCCAGAACATAATTATCCTCATCTTTAAGAATCATTCGTTGGGAACCTGCTAGTTCAGTAGTTCGCCAATAGCATGATGTGAAGGCCAATAGAAATGAGCGAAAGAACAGTAGAAGATGGAGAACAAACATCTATAATCCGAGAATGAAAAAGCGTCCACAACTAATTCCTAACAATAAATACACATTGGTCAAGAGATATAACAAGCTCTAGCAGTAATCATGTACTCTCCAACATATCCAGCCAAGCGCAGCAGCTCTCTAATTTTTCGTTGTTTTGAGGACTTCAAAATAGAATTTCCCGTATGAAGTAGATTATCGAAATATGAGTAAATTTAGCCCGTAAAATAAGAAGCAGTTTTCCAATCGATAGAAGAAGGTAAACATCAGGAAAACCTCAGCCGTTGATTGAAGAAGGTAATATCATTTTCCAAATCCAGTAGCAACTCTCTTGCCCCTCCGGTTTTCGATCTTCTCAGGGCTTGGAAGTCCAGTCTCAACTTCGTACTTACTTTCTAAGGCCTGTGATAAATTAAACAAAAGCCATTAACCTTTTTTTTCCTAAAGCTGGGCTATTTTGTCCTGCATAGACATGGTAACTCTTCATTCAGTTAAAAAGACTAGAAATAAACATCTTGAATCTAGGACTATTAGAATTTGCCTGACTAATTAGTTCAACTCAGACAGCAACTGTAAAAGATTTATTTTTCTCCCTCCCAATGGAAAGTCACCAGTGATCATGCATGTAAAGAGAGAAGGAAAAAACATATGGTTCCAGTTGAAGTTTGAAATTGCAATTTCAGATTTACTGATCAATGTAAAGGATTATCAGACCCAAATGGTAGAGCATGTGACTTTTCAATAGAGTTACAATTGCCATAACTACCTAAACAAACCATATAAGCCACATATGTTTAATTGCAAAGTCCTCTGAGATAAGAAACGGGTTTGAATTTGATTAAGGAAAATTCTCTTGGAATGGAATGACAAAGAATGGTTTGTTCTTCCAAACCTGTAGTTGAGCACGGATGCTATCAAGAACTTCTTCAGTCATTCTCTCAAAGAACAGAACTCCCTGTAAACACGAAACATACAACACATAGATCAACAACATGTACTGACACGGAAATTATTCAAGATTAAGAAATCTTATTAGCACAAAATACCTTAGACATACATGACAGAGAACAAAATCATCATTTAAAAGCTGTAATGCTTGAATTAATTATTAAGGTTGAAAAACAGACCTGTAGATGGTCAAATTCATGCAGGAACACCCGTGCAGGAAGCCCTGAGAAACTGACTGAGAACCTTTTTCCATTGACATCACGCGCATCAATCTTCACAGATTCTGGTCTCTGGAGCACAAAAAGGAGATTATCTTAGGCAGGAACAAGAATAAATAACCCATGAAAAAATCATAGTGGGCATGGTCATCAATTAAATGACACAGGGCGTATGTCCCTTTTACAGAGCATATATTGAAAAACCCATCACAAGTCTAACATAAAGCCCCATGACAGAAAGCAAATGGAAAAGGAACAGTTTATGTTTTCCTACCTGTACGTCACCATAAATCCCTGGGAAAGAGAGGCAACCCTCATTAAAAAGTGAAAGTTTCTTTGAGTATTTGCTAATTCTTGGATTAATAAGAGCAATTTCCTCTCCTTCACCACGTACACCCTCTGGATTGAACACCATAAGTTGTACATTGACTCCTACTTGGGGTGCTGAGAGTCCAATACCATCAGTTCTGTGGTAAAGGAAAGCAATCAACATTAATATCGAGATTTAATATATTCACAAGGGCGGACGCACGTTCAACGCTCCCTCCGGTTTCCTTTTTTCCCACATCCACATGCACAGTATTGATTCGTAGAATATTAATTTAAATAGAAAATAAAACAAAATAACCGCCAACAATTACGAGGCTCACTTGTACATTACGTCGAACATTTCGTCGACAAGCTTCTTCAGATTATCATCAAAGGTATCGATGCGCTTATTTCTTATCCTCAATCTTGGGTCTGGATATTTCACAACTTGCAAGGGAGCCTCGAACTGAAGATCGCCAGCTAAAGAAATCAGCAGAGTTCATCCAATTAGTGCCTCCAAATACCAAGGCGAGTTCATACGAAAGCATGTTTATGGGATTTGCCAGTTAGCTTACGAGAAGCGACTTCGTCTTCTTTAGGTGAAAACCCTCTTTTGGCCATCGCTTGACGAGGAATCACGGAAGGTCTTGCGTGGTACACGGAAGAGAAAGTACGGCGAAAGATGGAAGAATCGTTGAAACGATTTAGAATGGTGAGATAAGCAGACCGTCGATTAAGAGCAGGAAGAAGAAAATGTGCTGAGAAGAGCCTAGTAACCCCCCCAACATCCATGGCCACAGAGCACGAGAGGCGCATTCTGCCCAACACGTAAGAAGGGATAACACTTTAATCTATTTTGACTTCATTTTGGACTACAAAATTTAAAATTCTCCCCTTCCCTAATTTTATTTTCCCGACGGTTTGTATAATTTAATCAATTTTCTACCATTTTTAAATTAGTATATCCTGCTAATTTTTTAACTAAGGTGAACTTTGGTACACATATATAGGGTGGGTTTGAATCAGAATTTTATTTCATCTTACTTTTACAAACATAAATTACAATGAAAATTAGTTAATATAATGTGATTTATGTTTGGATAGACTTTTATAATAAAGTGAGTTTGACAAATTAAAACTTGCTGGACGTGTTTAGATTAGCGATGGGAAAAGTTACGGCTTTTTTATCCAGACACGACAAACAGTAAAAATATTTACTCAGATGCTATAAGATCAAAAATATTTACTCAGATACTACACTTGAAATCGTTCAGACAGTGAACGAGTTTAAATTTGTACAGAAGTTGTTCAGGCCAAAAATGACTTTAGTGGGACCCACATCCAAAATATGAAAGTTGTTCTTGGTCTGAACAACTTCAGTGAGACCCACATCACAAAATGGAAGTTGTTCTTGGTCTGAACAACTTCAATGGGACCCACTATTTGTCTTACACTCCATGCGTTTTCAGCTTTCATATTTTGACCAGACTATTTCTGCCTTTTGCGTGTAGCTTTCATATTTTGACCAGACTATTTCTGCCTTTTCCAACCACACACAAAGTGTTTCTTCCTTCCCCAAATATTCCCATCAATATAGAGTAGTCATTCAACGTCTCTCACACGTGAATACTTTGTTTTTGCATGTGAGTATATAGTATGAATTCTATTTATATAAGGTATTCGCCATTCCCACTCATTAGAAGGCTTCTCTTCACTTCTCACATTCTTCTTTCTCTATATGTAAGGCATTCCCGTGAAGTAGGTAAATACGTTTTATCTCAACTTCAATTCTTCATACAATTCAATTCTTCTTTCTCTATATATAAGGCATTTCGCTTGAAGAATTGAATTTTATCTGCGGGTCCTTCAGTTCTTCTTTCTCTTTCCACAATTTCACGTGAAGTTGGTGGTATGTGTGGCCTTGCAAATATTGCATACATTTTATCTCAACTTGAGGCTTAATTTTTCTTCTGATTAATGTACATTCTCTTGATTATTTTTTTTTAAAATTTTGATATGTATTTTGCTAAATGATGGATAAGAATTTTATATTTAGTCATTTTTACATGTTGAGTTTGTTTTAATTAAAAAAATGTAGACATATAATTAATTGTCATATAAAATAAATTACAGTTTACTTTTTTATAATCTGATTAAATATATATCTTTTTTTTTAGTAGATAGTGTTTGAGTAAATATGTAGTCAAATTAAATATGTATTTAGTTAGATAATATTTGGTTGTGAGCATGGTAATCAAACTTCTCCTATGCCAGTCAATACGTCATGAAAAATACTTGAATATTTAAAGAAAAATTGATGGAATAATATTCCCCACTCATAAAATTTTAATATACAATGATAAAATTATTTTTGTTAAAATTACGTTAAATTTATATCAAAGCATGCGTAGAAGACAGTTAAATTATTTAACTATAAAAACCTTTAAAATATTGAAAATCCAAATCAGTGGTCCAAGTTATAATTTTTATTAAATTTATAATTATTTTATTATTTGATTATGCATAGTGACTTCATGTATGAATTTCATAAATTCGAGTTTACATACCTGTCACGAGTTTACTTAAACTCATGAGTTTGACAACCCTGGTTGTGAGCTTAGTCTAGTCTTGTATCTAGCCAATGAAAGCTAGCACTAAATGGTGTCAAAATTTTCCTAATAAAAAGAGTACTGATGGTGGGGTTAATAATAATGAAAGAAAGGAGTTTTTTTTTTTTTGGAAAAATTAGAGAGGAGGACCTAGAGAAAGCAATATTTATTAAAGAGGATCTTAAAAATTATAATTATTTAGGCAGACCAAATAATAAACTATAAATTTAAAAAAATCACTCAACAGTAATAGCTAATTGTTTCGTCATATTAAGTAATTATAATTTTTAAATAACTAGTGTGAAATAGTTATTAACATTTATTTTTGTTTTCAATCATAAGAATGTTTTTTTGGAGTCACTTAAACGGTACCTAATATAAAATTACACAAGTACATTTATTATAAGCTTATTATTATTTAATGTAAATTTACCTTTATGTGTTAACTAAAGTATATATCTCATCAAAAGCATTTATTCGCAATATAGAAATTAGAGGTTGAAAGGAATATAATTATTCGTTAATAATATAGATAAATTAAAATTGAACATTTGAAGTATGAAGTGGGACCAGAGAAAAATGAAGCAGAGGCAATTTTTTTGAATAAGAAATATTTTCAAATTAATTTATTTAATCAAATATTTATCTAATTTAGTCATTAAAAATATCCAATAATGGAACATAAGTTAGAAAAAATTTAGGAATGTAGTTGTGGGAGAATTTAATGTTTTTAAATATATTTAATCCTTCTAAATATTTATAGTTTTTAAGATCCTTTTTATAATAAAACAGAAGTAATGATTTTAGCTAATTTTTTAATAATATTTAATTATAATATTTTTTTTCAATAAAATGGAATGAATAGAAAATTATTTATTTAATATATTTGAAATATGTAATTTATATTATTAATTTTATATTGATATATTAGAATTTATAATAAAATTTTAATATGTAACGTTTATTTTTAATTGAAATTACTTTTTAAGTTATTCTAAATATTTTTTATGATTGATGTTCCACAGTCGTTGTTGATTAAAAGATATTACAGGTTACTATCTTACTTAAAAATGTAAATAAGTTTCTTAATAAATAGCCTAATTTTTGTAACTATAAATAAATGATTATTCTACTACTTTATTTTAAAAAATATATACATAATTGAATTAAAAAATAATGATATTATGGAGTTAATTTAGTTTTGCAATTCATTTTTGTTTAATTAATAATTATACTGTATTATTTAGGAAGCAGAATGGATCATAGAAAAGAGTTTGTGTATATTTGCAAATGGACGAATTTTTAATGGCCCGGTTGATGCAACATTTGAGTGTGATAGAGCGAAAGTAGTGAAAGTTGATCCAAATATTACATTGGATAGATTGAAGGAAGTTATTGGACGAAAACTACAACTTCCTCCCAATGAAATTGTGACAAATCTAGTGTACAGATATCCTACGTGCATAAATCCACCACAATACCAAGCATGCAATCTAGAAGATGATTCGGATGTACAACAAATGTGGCAAGTGAACCGTCGATTCTCAACTCAGTTAACATGTGCAGAGTTGTATGCCAATATAAGTGACTTGGAAGATGTTGGTCATATTGAATCACAACTAATGACAAAAATGCTGAAATACTCTTCCATCAAGTAGCAATCAGCTGAACATTATAGAAGAAGAATCCATGTTTAGCGATCAGATGGAAAATCTTCACCCATTTGAACTTCCCCAAGATGGTATCAACAATGGGCTATCTTGCTCTGTTCCTCAAATGGAAGATACTATGGATGAATTTGAGGAAGAAGATCAATATGATTCTTATTTAAATATTGGTGATGGGAATGATCATGATGACAATGATGAGCATGACGAGATCAACCAGGATAATGAGCTAGCATCTGCTTTCTTCTCGCATATTAACGTTGAGTCAGCTATGGCTCCTGAGTTCAGTGAATTAGAAGAAATTCCACCTTTCAGTCAAAATGAAGAGTTACATATCGGAAAGATGTTTAGCAATGTTCGTGTTTTGAGACGTGCGGTCAAGTTATACTCTGTTCGAGTTCATCACACATTCAAGGTCTATTATTCATGTAACAAGTATGAAGAATATCGATGCATTAACTATGGTGAAAGCTGTAATTGGAGAGTAAGAGCTTGTAAGAAGGAAAACAAAAACATTTGGCAAATTACAAAATATGGGGGGCCCACACATGCTTAAGCACATCACTAACTCAAGACCATCCAAAGTTTGATGCTGATGTTATATCATCTTGTATCACAGCAATGGTAACTGATACGCCAGATGTGAAAGTATCTCAAATTATAGAGAGGATGCAATCCATGTTTGGTTATATAGTGTCATATAAGAAGGCTTGGAATGCAAAACAATTAGCCATTACCGTTGCTTTTGGGAATTGGGAGATCTCATATTCCTTACTCCCAAGGTAGTTGGCCGCAGTACAACACTTCATGCCTGGATCATACGTACAATTTTCAAATAAACAGTGCTCTCAAGTCAATGCGAATGGGGAACCAATTGAAATGTTTCGCCGTGTGTTTTGGGCATTCAAGCCATGCATTGATGCCTTTCCACATTTGAAGCCCATTATACAAGTTGATGGAACATTTTTATATGGAAAGTATAAGGGCACATTACTAATGGCTATATCACAAGATGGTGACAGAAATATTGTGCCGCTTGCATTTGCGGTAGTTGAAGGGGAGACAAGATCAGCTTGGACATGGTTCTTATGCCATGTGCATCATTGTATTGTAAAAGATAGAATAGAAATTTGTTTAATTTCAGACAGACATCGTTCAATTTTGGCTGCAGTTTCTGATCCTCAACATGGATGGCAGCCACCACATGCACATCATGTTTTTTGTCTACGTCATGTGGCCTCTAACCTTCACAAAGCACATGGAACAAATTGGCTAAAAGAGAAATTTATAAATATTGGTGAGATTTCTTGTGTTTTTTAATGATATAATAACTTTATAATTTTATGATTATTTTTAACAAGTTAATAATTACTTGTAGGGTATGCGTATGAACGTCATGTTGTTGACCAACAATTAGCAGAGATAGTATTGCAACATGCATCTACTGCTAGATGGATTGGAGCCATCCCCAAAGAAAAATGGTCACGTGCATATGACGTTGAAGGTCGACGTTATGGACACATGACAACTAACCTTGCAAAGTGTATGAATGGTGTATTCAAAGGTGTTCGAAGTCTACCCATAACTGGTTTAGTTAAAGCGACCATGTATAGAGTTAACAACTATTTTGTAAAGCGTGCCTAATAAGTTCATGCATAAATTGCAACTGGTCAAGTGTTTTTTGAGACACTAACAAAGAAGTTAGACATAGTAACACAAGGTGCATCTAGATGTGTTGTTCGAGAGTTTGATAGAATATCAATATCATTTGAGGTTATGGAGCCATACAATATTCAACTTCGTCAATTTCGTCGTTGTTGTAAGGTTAACTTGATTGATAGAAAATGTGATTGTGGAGAATTTCAAGCAGAAAAGTTTCCATGTATGCATGCTGTTGCAGCTTGCTCACAAGTAGGCATTAACCATTTGCAATATGTTGATCCTGTTTTTAGGTTGGAAACCATGCAAATGGCTTACAGTAACAACTTTCATCCAATAGGAGATGAGACTTACTGGCCGCAAATTGATTGCCCTACTCTAATACCTGATCCATCAATGATTAGAGATAAAGGCCGTCCTCGTTCAAGTCGCATACGTAATGAGATGGATTGGACCACACCCAACCCACCCAACAAATGTGGATTATGTAGACAAATTGGTCATAATTGCTCTACTTGTCCTCAAAGTGTGGCATCCAGACAATAAATTATGTATTTTGCTTATGTAAAAAGAAAATTATACATATGAAGATGAAATGTAAATGGTTTTTGTAATTTTTTATATTATGTGAATATTTATTTGTTATGTTGTGTTTAGATATTTGAAAATGGCACAATATCCAGAAGAAGTCATTAACCCTGGTCAAGAGGATAACTCACTTCTGTACTTACAAACTAACATATTTCGCAACAAGTTTGGAATGAAAATATAAGTAATCTCTCTTAACTACTACTTATTAATTCTATGCTTTAATACTAAATTTTTTTAAAAAATTTTCTCTATAGGTTTCTCGAATCCTACACACTAGACGAGTCATGCATGCTAATCGAATGATTAAGCCACCCAATCAGATACTTGAATATCTTAGATTAGCTGGATTTTATGGTGTTGCGAGGGTAGGGCAATTTGATTACGACCGGAGTTTGGTCTCAGCCCTTGTTGAGAGGTGGCGTCCTGAGACTCACACATTTCATACTACACGTGGAGAGTGCACGATAACATTAGAGGATGTTGCTATACAGTTAGGCCTTCTTTGTGTAGGAATGCCTGTCATTGGGAAAACTGACTTTAATTGGCAAGATGTTTGTGAATGGCTTCTAGGGGTTAGACCACCTGCAGATAGAATACTTGGACAACGACTACTTATGAATTGGTTGGAAGAGCACTTTAATCACTTACCTGATGATGCAGACGATGTACAAGTTCAACAATTTACTCGTGCATATATTCTCAGGTTGATTGGAGGATATCTCATGCCAGATAGATCGTGTACTAGGGTGTATTTGATTTACCTTCCACTACTTTATAATCTGAAAGAAGTTGGAAATTTTAGTTGGGGTTCAGCAGTTTTAGCTCACCTATATAGAGAATTATGTAATGCTACTAATCCAACTGAAGATGGGATTGGAGGGTGCTTATCATTATTACATTTATGGGCATGGGATCGTTTTCCTACGCTAGCACCACAACAACCTGTATCTCCAGATCCACAGTCTAATATCTACCCTCTCTTACCTCTTTTGGGTTTCAGGTATGCCAAAATCACACAACAAATATTTCATATGTACTTATTATTGAAATTTTACAAATTTTAACACTACTTTTTTGGGTTGTTGATAATGCTAGATGGAAAAATGTAAGACAAAATCCTCGTCCAAGTGTCACATCCTTACGCCAATATAGGAGTCTTCTTGATAGAATGACTGATGATGACATAATTTGGCAGCCATATGAATCTTCTGAAGTGCGCCAATTGATTCCAGAATACTGCTTGGCAACACTGAAATTTGGCTTGCTTCAGTTCCTCTAATATGTTTTCATATTATAGAATGACATCACCCTGATCGTGTACTAAGGCAATTCGATCGTCAACAACCTATTCCTGTCATGCCTGTTCATTTAGGAAATTACCATACAATACAACTACGTGGCAGAATAAGCACAAATTGGACTGAAGAATACTCAAACTTCATTGAAACATGGAATAGATGGCCACATGCTGTTGTTGATGCTCCTCTGGCACTGGGTGAACTTGATCGAACATCTGAGTACATGCAATGGTATTGGAGACATACAAGACGATGGATCCAACGTGTTAGTGGTGATACTGGCTATGTGGTAAGGTTTTTTTTAGTTTTTTCTGATCAATATCATCATTTTCTTTTATACGAAATTTTTTTCAAACCTAATGTTTTATTTATTTCAAGCTGACATAGCAAAACAGTTATATAGGCTAACAATTAATTCTTGTTCAACATGCTCTGATTACATTGATTATCGAGAAAGAGTTGCTCGAGACCGGCATAACATCTTACTTGCAGTTAGAGAACAACGGTTTAATATGAATTCTCAACCAGCTCCACCACCAGTTGAGCTACCCCGTCCACAAATTCCTCGAGATAGACCAAGCAAACGGCGAGGCGATTACTTGTCTACTCAGCTACCAATTGCAAATGAAAATTTAAGTGAATAAGAGCCTCAAAATTTTAGTCATTTTGATAACATACCAGTCTCATCAAGCCATATCACCTCTTCCAATCCAACTCATTTTTACCCTCATCACATGCCATCATCATCAACATTATCCCATTTTGACTTACCCAATCCTCCTCAATTTCAGTCATTCATGTCCTTATTTGATGATCCTGCATTATTTATCGATCAATATAACACTTCTTCTTTTGAGCAAGGTGGTCCATCAAATGAAGCATTTGTCACCCCTCGACAATCAATTTCTTTAGTTGAATCACCTTGGTTTGATTTAAATACGTCAACTACGCAGACAAATGAGACATTAGATCAAACTCAAGAAGTAAATATACAACAACGGCCACAGCGTGCGCGGAGGAGACCAAGATGTGGCACGGGGAGTCATTATTTGTGAGGTAAATTAATTCTTATTTTTGTTCATGTCAATTTAATTGTTATTTGTTATTAATTTTATAACATTTAATCATTACTTATTTTCTTTAATCACTTTTTAATTAATATAATATTAATTATTACTATTATCATTATATAATTATTAACTCATTATTCTAATGATATGACCATTATTAACATCCCTGTAGGAATATTTATATGGTGAGAGATTGTGAAGAAGTTGTTCAGATGCTGGTGAAATTTAAAAGTTGTTCACACCAAAATGAATTTCAGCTAGAAGGAAGACAAGGTTTATTGGAGGAATTGCTCTTACTGAGATGAATTTTAAATGTTGTTCAAGCCAAGATGAAGTTCAGCTACATGGGAACCAATGTTTATTGAAGAAATTGCTCTGATTAAGATGAACTTTTAAAGTTGTTTAAGCTAAGAACAACTTTGAGTGTAGTATTTGGGGAAATAATTCCCACTATGTAGTATTTGAAGAATTTTTTTCCCTGTTTGCAGCGTTTTGCTAAAAATTCCCTAAGTAACACAAAGCTGGGTCTGATTGCAAAACCCAAAACATGCAAAACAAAAGCCCCTTTCACTCCGTTAAGTGAGGAGAAGGCTTATGATGAGTGGGAATACATTATTAGCTTTCGACTAGAAACTAAGGATCAAATAAAATGTGAATCTGACGGATTTTTTTCTAAAAATTCTTGGAGGAGATTATCATATTTCTACAATTCAATTAGATGTGAAATCTAGAAATTTCCTCAATATACTATTTATCTTTAATAAATCTATATTAATATCTAATTAATATTAATTAATTATTAATTAAATAGAATTAATTAAATATAAATAATATTAAATAAATAATAATATTCTATTTATAATTTTAGAATTTTAGTTATAATTTTGGAATAATTAAATAAAAAGAATACCGAATGCCTTGTATAAGTAGAATTCATACTATACACTCACATGCAAAAACAAAGTACTCACGCATGAGAGACAAGGAATGACTACTCTATATTGATGGGAATATTTGGGGAAGGAAGGAACACTTTGCGTGGGGCTGGAAAAGGTAGAAATAGTCTGGTCAAAATATGAAAGCTGAAAACGCATGGAGTGTAAGACAAATAGTGGGTCCCACTGAAGTTGTTCAGACCAAGAACAACTTCCATTTTGTGATGTAGGTCCCACTGAAATTGTTCAGACCAAGAACAACTTTCATATTTTGGATGTGGGTCCCACTGAAGTCGTTTTTGGCCTGCACAACTTCTGTACAAATTTAAACTCGTTCGCTGTCTAAACGATTTCAAGTGTAGTATCTGAGTAAATATTTTTGATCTTATAACATTTGAGTAAATATTTTTACTGCTTGTCGTGTTTAGATAAAAAAGCCGAAAAGTTACTTTTTTTCAATCTGATTTTTGTAAAAACCAGATTATATAAAAACCAGGTAGTATAATGTGATTTATGTTTGAATTGGCCTTTAGAAAAAAAGTTAGTTTGAGAAAGTTTGAGAACATGAGATTTGTTTAGAGAATTAATGAAAAAATAAGTTTAGACGTGAAATGACTAAAAAAATATGATTTTATTGAATGATACATATCTAATATCATATATATATAATATGACAATTGCAAAAGAAATGTTGAAAATAAAATTATTATAAATAAAAAATTAATTTATTAGGAAGAAATTGAAAAATTCTGTTCAAAATACAAAATAAACATTGGAGAGGCTTTTTTTTATAAGATAATATTCACTTTTGTCTAAGAATTAATGAGTTTTTTCAAATTTTGTCCCTATATATTTTTTTTCCTTTTTTATTCATTTGTTATATATTTTACTTATTCTCTTCATTAATAAGGGTAGATTTGAAAAAAAAAATACATTCCTTACATTATTTTAAATTAATTTTTAACTAATTTTTTCATAAACATAAATAGATAAAATTTATCTTATTTTTAAACTGGAAGGAGCACTTGATTAGATATATTTAATGGATAAATACACACACACACACACACACACACACACACATATGAGTTAAGGTGCACCCAGAACCTCGAACTATTTTCCCATGTGCACTCACTGTTCTAAAGTAATTTTTGGTGCATCCAGTGTTTCAAACTAATTAAAACGGTGCATCCATATCTCAGGCTAATAGAAAAGTTAAGTTTGATCATTAGTTGACCGAAAAATCTGACGTGGCGGACACGTAGGCATCTGATGTGTATTATTTTGAAGAGTTAAGGTGCGCTCAGCACCATGAACTATTTTTTCAAGTGCGCCCAGTGTCCTAAAGTAATTTTTGGTGCATCCAGTGTCCCAAATTAATTAAAACAGTGCGTCCACATCTCAGGCTAACAGAAAAGTCTCGTAAGACCGTTACCTTACTGATTCAGCTAAAGGCTGACCGAAAAATCCTACATGGCGGACACGTAAGCGTTTGATGTGTATTATTTTGACTAAAGCTCCTGAGATGAGCCCAATGACGGCGGGTGTTTTCTCGGAAGGCGATGACGATATTGATGGAATGACCAAGGGGAAGTTTACTGTGTTCTAAGAGGAGGAAAGCAAATGTGAGTCGAATGAGGAGTCGACAGAGATGAAGATAGAAGTGTGCTGTGACAGCAGTTGTGGTTTCAAATTGGAGTGGTGGAAGAAATGGGATAAAATGTTAAAGACGAGGATGAGATTGAATGGGTGGTACATGTACCAGGATTTAAGAGGGTGGATCGGTGGTCTTTTTTTTTTTTAAGTTTAAAAATTGGCAGAAGATAAATGTTAGAAGAGGAGGAAATAAATCGAATTTTCAGTAAAAATAATACATATCAGACGCCTGCGTGTCCGCCATATAGGATTTTTCAATCAACCTTCAGCTGAATCAACAAGGTAACGGTCAAACGAGACTTTTCTATTAGCTTGGGATGTGGACGCACCGTTTAATTAGTTTGGGACACTGGATGCACCAAAAATTATTTTATGACACTGGGCGCACTTGGGAAAATAGTTCAGGGTGCTGGGCGCACCTTAACTTGTCAAAATAATACACATCAGACGCCTACGTGTCTGTCACATCAGATTTTTCGGTCAACTAATAGTCAAACTTAACTTTTCTGTTAGCCCGGGATATAGATACATCGTTTTAATTAGTTTGGGACATTGGATGCACCGTTTTAATTAGTTTGGAACACTAGATGCACCAAAAATTATTTTACGACATTGGATGCACCTGGAAAAATAGTTCGGGATGCTAGGTGCACCTTAACCCTATATATATCTTAATTAAAATAGTACATGGACGCAGCACCTCTGTCCTTGTCTTTTTACAGCCATCAATAGACAAAAGGCACGTAGATTGAGGGTAAAACATAATTAATGCTTCTAGCCGCTCCTCTAAGCACATCGTCTCGTGAAAAACAAAAAAAATAGAGATTTATTCCAAAAGCTCGTTGAGGGATCAACGATTGAAAAAGTAACTTATTAAAAAAATAATTTATAAAGAAGTGAAGTTGGGTAAAAACTAAATTGAATAAGTTGAATTGTGTTTGGATTAGAGTTTAGAAAAGTTAGTTTGCAAAAGTAAGTTTGGTAAAAAATTGTTTGGATTATGATTGAGTAAAAATAAGTTTGGTTGTAAAATGATCAAAATGAGTATGAGTTTTAATAAATAATGAAAACATGATAAAAAAAATTTTGTATAATATAATGAATTTAAATTAATTTAATATAAAGAAGTGAAATTTAATGGGTGGTTTAAAATTTAAAATTTTAAAAATAAAAAAAATATTTTAAAAACGAAGCTCCTCGGGTGACAGAGTAATGAGCTTTTACGCTAATCTGAGAGGGGTCATGGGTGATGAAAGCTTGGTAAAAAAAAAAAACGAAGTGAATAGGGAATAAGGGTAGAAGTGGGAGAACAATAGGGGG